ATCGAGCCCCCAACCCTAATTAATAATAAACAAGTATCTAAAACACATTTCAAATAAAAATTAATTATTTTACGTGTAATCTAGCGATTTACGATACAAATCATTTTGCCATTCAACAATAAATTTGCATTTTTCAACAACATTTTTACTTAAATCTTTTACAAATTCATAAATTTCATTTTTCTCTCCATCACTAAAATAGCTATTCTCTTCACGATTTAGACATTTAATATTAAAAATATTCCAATTATTTCCTTGGTGCTTTTTGTATTTTGAAACTATTAAGCTAAAAGCAAATAATGTTTGGCGACATTTTTCTAAAGATTTTTGGATATTAAATTGATGTTGATCTTCAATATTTGATTGTTTGATATCTTTATTTTTTAACTGAAAGTTTTGGTTAATTAATTAAAATTTAATAAAAAAAAATAATTTTAATTGAAAGTTTCTGAAGTGATATGTAAAGAATTTTAGAAAATACATAAATCAGTTATTGAAGCAAAAATTAATTATTTTATATTATAAATTAGTTTACTTTTTTAATTACAACTTTCCTTCCACTAAATATACAATTACTATTTAGTTCTTCAAGATTTTTTGAAATAAAATTGAGGACATAATGAGCCTCTGTAAATGTCATTTTATGTTGAGAATGAACTTGCACTTTGAGGGAAAAAATATTTTATTAAAATATTTTTATTAAAAAATTTATTTTATAAAAGTTTTATTTTCAATATATTTTGGCTGTTTCCAAAATAAAAAGTTGTGTTGAACTTTATAAGTTTATATTTTTTTGTTGGCATTTTTAATTAAAGTTAATTTAGGATAAATCTAATAATCATTTAAATGGTTATTCATTTTGGATAGAAAAATCCTTTATTACCCAAACAAAAAATTAGACCTGTTAAAAAATTTTTATTCATAAAAATTGCAACAAATATTGGCCATTTTTACAGTTAAAAACGGCCATTTTTATTTGCGTTAGAAATTCAAAATTTAATGACTAAAAATATTTTTTCCAGAAAAAATAGAATGCTCGAGATAAGCTTCCCAAAATTATAACTAAACATTTTTGATCATTTAACTTTTTCAACACTTTAATTTAAACAGAATTGTTATTTAAAATTAAAGTTTATGTTTGTTTATTAATTTTAAATTAAATCCAAACTAAATGCTTTTTTAAATTGTTCCAATTCCTCTGATGTTATTCCAGGAATTTTTGGGATTTTAATTCCAATCATTTCCAACGTCGCAAGATGAAATCCATCTTGTTGTAATGAATGGGCTTTAAATATAGGCAATTAAAAATATTATTTTATAAAATGGAAGTTAAAATCTTTTACCTAAAAGAAGGAAAAGTCCAAACAAGTTAAGGAAATTAACATTTAAATACATATGTAAGTTTTAAATAAAATTTAATTTTTTGGGCAATGCATATAGGGGGACTTTTAATTATACTTTATATAAAAAGGCAATAATCAATTGTTACACGTGCCTAAATAATTTAAATTTATACAGTCATATGCCTTTTTTCAAAGTCATATGCCCTTTTTTTAATTTAAATAAATTTATTTGGAATTTTTACAACAAATGTTTGCCTTCTTGTCTAGATTCTAGCAAGTCTGGAAATTTTAGACTTGTAATAATTTTTTCCCAAAAATTTTGAAATGTTGTTAACGCTTCATCATAACTTATATTTGTGATTTCAACAAATGTCTGACTTAATAAATTTTTATTATAACTTGTGGACTAGGGCAATTGTGTGTTTAAGGTAGAATTAAATAAACATTTAAAAATCTTATTTTAATTAATTTAAAATTAATTTAAACTTACAATATTGTAACTTCCATTCATTAGGCCTCTCAAATTTGAAATTTTGTTTATCAATATAACAATATTTTGGCCAGTTTATTGACAATTTAAATTTTATATTTTTTGTGCAATAATATTTATCCCCATCTTCATTAATGTTACTACAATGATTAATTAATTCTTCAACTATGTTATCGCGTATTTTCAAATAAAAACTGGAAATTTATTTTTATTAATTAAAAAATATTTAAAAAAAAGGAAGTAAAGTTTAAACAATTTTTTGAGGGAAACTTTGTTTTTAAAAAGTCCCTCAATCTCTCTTCGCTTTGATCTTGCGGAAACATGTCCAAAAAAATTTAGGTAAAAATTCCCCTTACGGAATCTCGCAAACATTATTTTGTCGATCACTAATATACCTAATATTCCAAAATTTCTACAAAAATTTTCGTGGACATTTTTATTGAATTTAAAATTTCGATTTTAAATTTAATAATCCTTACATTTTATCCAAACTTTTGTTTCCCAATATTTCATTCAATTCAGCAGCAAATTCAAGTAAATTTACATTTGTTTGATTTTTAATTAAATTATCAATATCAGGCTTTCCTTCTTCATTAAAAATAATTATAAAACGATTAACTAAACAATAACTAATATTTAAAATTGAAATTTTATTTAAAGGATTATTTGAAGATTTTAGGGTTTTTGTTTGGATTTTTTGTTGCTTTTTCCAGTTTTTTACTAAAAATAAAAGTTTTTGCATTATTCGTTGAATATAATCTGAAGTAGATTCTTTTATTATTTTGGAGAAATAATCGAAGGATTTTGAATTAGTAAATTGTTTATCTAAATTATAATTAATTAAGATTATATAAATTGCTGTGCATAGTTACAGATTAAAATAATTATTTTTACGTCAGGCCCATAATGAGATTTCTTAATATTTTCGTGAAATAAGTACTAATTCTTAACTTAAAAGTTGGGCACGAATAATATAAATAAAATAATAGCTCCACATATATGCTATTAAAATTAAAAATATTAATATTTATAAAATACCATTTGAATCAATCATTTTAAATTTCTCCAAAATCAACTTGTTCAAATTCAATTCATCAACTAATTTGTTCAAAGAATACTCGAATTTATCCACTGCAACAAAAAGATTGTCAAAATAATCCTTCAAATTTAGTATTTCCTTATCTACTTTCAATTGACTAAAAAATTCAAATTGTTTGGCAAAATTCAAAAAAGATGTCTTTATTGTTTCCAACATCATTTCTTCAAGCCCCTTTTTGTTATTATTGTTTTTGTTAAAATCACACAAACTTGTAAAATTGTAAAAAACCTCGAAATTATTTTAGATTATTACGTAAGGTGTGTTAATAAATTATAATGCCATTAAACTCGAATTATCCGTTAATCTTGAGTATTTTTAATGTAATCCCAACTCTCTAAAGGCAACTATTTATTTCGAATTGATTCTGAGCTTGGTTTTTTAAGTTTGTATATCAATGGAGATCTAAACTCGATTCAAGTGGTTTACTCGATAAAACCCGATTGAGTAAAAACAATTTTTTTTAATTCCTTCATTACAAACCTTAATTAAAAATGCGGCCTTTTTTTCAATTTCGTTAAATTTAGTTTCACTATTTTCTGTTGATTTGCCGTTTAATTTATTTTGTAAAATCTTTAGGAAATTTTGTTGCTCAGTTATATCTTTTAGATTTAAATTTATATTGGCTAAAGTAAATTTTAGCAAATAAGCGGCAAGTAAACATTGTTGGATGTGCACACGAAGCTGGATATTTGTTTCCAATTTGGCAAATTTTTCTTTGACAATTTCAAGTTGATTTATATTGTTTGGATGTTTAATCAACTGAATATATTTATTATATTATTACACTCAAATCCAAATATAACGTCTCTCCGTTATCCAATAAGTATATCCCCCTAATATGTCAACTCAATTCGGTCCCAAGGGATGTATTTAGTGAGAGTTGATAAAAATTTATTGATAACAATTTTAGTAAATAACAATTTTATTTACGGGTTATCTAGGCATTTCTGTATAAATTCAAAAAATAATAATAAATTTAAATTAACAATTTCGAGGACATTAATTTATTGATGCAATATATTAAGGATCTATTTTAAGGGTTAAAGAAAAATCGTGAACAAGATCGTTAAATAATGATTTTCAATAAATATTTATTTTATATCCAAACCTCAATTAATTCTTCATTTATTTCATAATTAATTGTTGTTTTATTTAATGAATCTTCTATAATTTTAATATTAAAGTCCTTCTCATGGAGTACCCCAGACACTGAAACTAGAATGTGATGCGCTTCAGTAAATGTTAGTTTATGCATATAAAAACGATCAACTATGAATTTTAATAAATTTACAAAAAATCAGAGATTAATTTAAATACGTGCATCATTATATAATCCTGCCCATTCCTTGCTTTGTCTGACCATTCCCGGCATTTTTAACATATTTATTCCCATAAAACTTGAATCAGCGAGGCTAAAGCCATCCTCATAAATATATTTATCTAAAATTATTTAATTATAATATTTTTTCATTATTTGTCCAAGTCTTCGAAAACTCTTCCTTTAACTTACTATGCATTAAAGCCCATTCTTCTGGACGTTCAAAAGTTGTATTCTTCCTTTCTATTGAACAATATCCTGCCCAATCATTTATTAAGTTATTTACGTAATTTTTACAAAAATTTTCATATTCGGCATTCCCAGTTTTGCATTTTTTATATATTTTTGCTTCAATTTGTATCAGAATTCTTTTATAGTATCTTAAAACAATGTAGCCTTTTATTTTTATTTTAAAGAATCTTAAGAGGATTTTATGAATTTATTAAATTATTTTTAATTTTGGCATCGGAGGATTAAATTATTTAATTTATTTTAATTTTGTAGTAAGAGAGAAATAACTGTTTAGTTTTAGTCCCCCTATTTTCCCCTTTTTGAGAGGACATGCCCCCTTTTGGTGGTTTGGAAAGGGCCACTCTGATTGTCTTCGATATCCAGATCCAAAGTAAATACCTCTCAGTTCTTTCGTTCGGACCCATTCTGAACCGACAACCCTAATTGTGTGCCACTTTAGTCTTTAGCAATTACTTCTTGGAGTAATTACTAACGACTAAATAATTATTTTAATAATCCCTACTCAATATCCACACTTCTTTTGCCCAAAACATTTCCAATTAGAGCTGCATGTTCAAACATAAATGACTGATTTCCTTTAAAAATTCTTATTTTGGGCTTTCCTTCATCATTAAAGAAAATAATAAATTGTTTAACCAAACAATAACCAACAAAAAGGTAACTAATATTTTTAAATTGCTCAACCTTCTCATCATCATTTCCTTTTATTTCTATAAAGACATGCATATTTTCTATTAAATATTTAAATTTTTCTGTCAATTGTTTTAAATAAATTTTATTTTCTTTATTTGCTAATTCCCTCAAAATATTTCTGTCCTCAACTAGAAACTTTTCTTTATTTTCTGAAAATATAAAAATTAAACTACAAATTTTAAGAGTTTTCATTTACTATTTGTCTAAGCTATTTAATTTCGGATAAATGAATATTTCTCTAAAGCATTTATTAAATTGAACTTTGATAATCAAGGATAGGTTTTACCTCCCCGCCACTCCACCCAGACCCTACAAACATTGTGATTAGTTGTTGTATTCCAAAATTATTTCCAACCTTTGTAAATTTCCCCCTAAACCTTTACTTAATAACTCCAACTTACTTTTATTCATTCTCTCCACTAATTCACTAAATAAATTAATTTTATCTAAATTTTCATTCATTTTTTTAATAAATTTTTGAAATTCATAAACTTTTTTCCCAACTTTATTCAAATATTTTTTTATATTTTGTGAATTATTTTTAGTCTCTTTAATAAATTTATCGTTAATGAAAATTTCAACGTTTTCGTAAGCCTTTTCTATATTTTTTATAATATTCTTTATTGCTTTTAATTTAATCTAAATTATTTTATAATATTTAAAAATATTCTTTAAATAATTATGGAAGGATTGTGAAAGCTTATATAAAAATTGAATAGATTTTCGATGGAAACAATTATTTGCTCAACATGAATTTATTATTAAATAAATATTTAGGTATTGTAGAAAAGGGAGCTAGCATTTAAAATGCTTAATAAGCAGAGCTCCGTAGCTCAGTCGGTAGCCACGAGTTTGCAATATCTATGCCTGCTCAGGGCTACACCTCGATCCCTTTAATTTTTATATCCCACCCACACTCCCTAATTTAAGTCCTCTAATATAAGCGATGAAAAATAAATGCATATGTGTCTTATTAAAAAAATTTCGGTAGTATATGCAAGCATTAATTTGTGAATAGGATTGTTGGTTTCACCAGATTCTTCAGTTAACCTAACCGAACCGAAAACACACACCGAAAATCTTCGGTTTTTCGGCTTGGTTCGGGCTGAAACCGGCAACCTATTATTTGTGACAAAGATCTTAAACTTTTCATTGGAGAATATGAGTTCCCCAACTGTTTTAAAAATGTTTGTTTTCTAATTTAAATTCCAAACTACCAACCTCAATATCTTCATTATAATATTTATTTTTAAAATCGCATTCTGTTCGGAAATTTCCAATTATTTCAACAATAAAATTAACAGATTTATTATCACTTTTATTCCAAGTTTGCAATGTATTATTTAAATTATTGAGAAAATTTTTTGGATTTTCATTGCTGTTTATATTAAATAATGTAAACTTTAATACTTTTGTAGTAAATAAACATTTTTTTATATTTTCTTTTAATTCATTATTTGTTTTAAATCCGTTAGAATTTCTTTTTAATTCTTCTAAATTATTGAAATTGGATGGGTTTTCTAGCTGTAAATTTTTAAATTTAATTTTATAAATTTTAATTTTCTTTTTACTTTTTTCAACGAATTATAAAAATATTTGTTTATTTTAATTTTTGTTATTTTTTCGTTTAATTGTCTGAGAAATTCTTCGTTATTTGTTATTTCTTTAATATTTATTGTTTTGGAGAGAATTGTTATAAAATGATGGGCTTCAGTAAATGTTAGTTTGTGCAAATAAAATGAGGAAGCTGAAAAATATTTTTGTTATTACTGATTTTCTAATCTATTTTTAAATGGCTACACAATAATTACCCGTCCCTATTTACCTTCGAGTAAAGGAGGGAATGTGAGACCATTTTCTTCCCTTTCCGCGAAATTATTATATGCTATCCGGAAAAATCAGAATTATTAAATATCCTTTCCGGAAACATCAGAATTATTACATATACTTTCCGGAAACATAGAATTATTAAATATATTTTTCCGGAAAAATCATAATTATTAAATATACTTTCCGGAAAAATAAGAATTTCCGGAAAAATCATATTTAAATATTCCGGAAAAATCAGAATTATTAAATAATTATTAAATATATTTTTCCGGAAACAGCAGAATTATTAATTATATTTTTCCGGAAACATCAGAATTATTAAATATACTTTCCGGAAAAATCAGAATTATTAAATATATTTTTCCGGAAACATCAGAATTATTAAATATACTTTCCGGAAAAATCAGAATTATTAAATATATTTTTCCGGAAAAATCAGAATTATTAAATATACTTTCCGGAAACATCAGAATTATTAAATATATTTTTCCGGAAACATCAGAATTATTAAATATACTTTCCGGAAACATCAGAATTATTACATATACTTTCCGGAAACATCAGAATTATTAAATATACTTACCGGAAAAATAAGAATTATTAAATATATTTTTTCGGAATCATTAGAATTATTAAATATACTTTCCGGAAACATCAGAATTATTAAATATATTTTCCCGGAATCATTAGAATTATTAAATATACTTTCCGGAAACATCAGAATTATTAAATATATTTTTCCGGAACATCAGAATTATTAAATATACTTACCGGAAAAATCAGAATTATTAAATATACTTTCCGGAAACGTCAGATTTATTAAATATCCTTTCCGGAAACATCAGAATTATTAAATATACTTTCCGGAAACATCAGAATTATTAAATATATTTTTCCGGAAACATCAGAATTATTAAATATATTTTTCCGGAAACAGCAGAATTATTAAATATATTTTTCCGGAAACATCAGAATTATTAAATATATTTTTCCGGAAACATCAGAATTATTACATATACTTTCCGGAAACATCAGAATTATTAAATATATTTTTCCGGAAACATCAGAATTATTAAATATACTTTCCGGAAAAATCAGAATTATTAAATATACTTTCCGGAAACGTCAGATTTATTAAATATATTTTTCCGGAAACAGCAGAATTATTAAATATATTTTTCCGGAAACATCAGAATTATTAAATATATTTTTCCGGAAACATCAGAATTATTACATATACTTTCCGGAAACATCAGAATTATTAAATATATTTTTCCGGAAACATCAGAATTATTAAATATACTTTCCGGAAAAATCAGAATTATTAAATATCCTTTCCGGAAACATCAGAATTATTAAATATACTTTCCGGAAACGTCAGATTTATTAAATATATTTTTCCGGAAACAGCAGAATTATTAAATATATTTTTCCGGAAACATCAGAATTATTAAATATATTTTTCCGGAAACATCAGAATTATTACATATACTTTCCGGAAACATCAGAATTATTAAATATATTTTTCCGGAAACATCAGAATTATGAAATATATCTTTCCGGAAAAGGCAGAATTATTAAATATACTTTCCGGAAAAATCAGAATTATTAAATATATTTTTCCGGAAACATCAGAATTATTAAATATACTTTCCGGAAACGGCAGATTTATTAAATATCCTTTCCGGAAACATCAGAATTATTAAATATACTTTCCGGAAACGTCAGATTTATTAACTATCCTTTCCGGAAACATCAGAATTATTAAATATACTTTCCGGAAACGTCAGAATTATTACATATACTTTCCGGAAACATCAGAATTATTAAATATATTTTTCCGGAAACAGCAGAATTATTAAATATATTTTTCCGGAAACATCAGAATTATTAAATATATTTTTTCGGAAAAATCAGAATTATTAAATATATTTTTCCGGAAACATCAGAATTATTAAATATACTTTCCGGAAACAGCAGAATTATTAAATATATTTTTCCGGAAACATCAGAATTATTAAATATATTTTTTCGGAATCATTAGAATTATTAAATATACTTTCCGGAAACATCAGAATTATTAAAAAATTTTTCCGGAAACATCAGAATTATTAAATATACTTTCCGGAAAAATAAGAATTATTAAATATATTTTTTCGGAATCATTAGAATTATTAAATATACTTTCCGGAAACATCAGAATTATTAAATATATTTTAACGGAAACATCAGAATTATTAAATATACTTTCCGGAAAAATAAGAATTATTAAATATATTTTTTCGGAATCATTAGAATTATTAAATATACTTTCCGGAAACATCAGAATTATTAAATATATTTTTCCGGAAACATCAGAATTATTAAATATACTTACCGGAAAAATCAGAATTATTAAATATACTTTCCGGAAACGTCAGATTTATTAAATATCCTTTCCGGAAACATCAGAATTATTAAATATACTTTCCGGAAACGTCAGAATTATTACATATACTTTCCGGAAACATCAGAATTATTAAATATATTTTTCCGGAAACAGCAGAATTATTAAATATATTTTTCCGGAAACATCAGAATTATTAAATATATTTTTCCGGAAACATCAGAATTATTACATATACTTTCCGGAAACATCAGAATTATTAAATATATTTTTCCGGAAACATCAGAATTATTAAATATACTTTCCGGAAAAATCAGAATTATTAAATATACTTTCCGGAAACGTCAGATTTATTAAATATATTTTTCCGGAAACAGCAGAATTATTAAATATATTTTTCCGGAAACATCAGAATTATTAAATATATTTTTCCGGAAACATCAGAATTATTACATATACTTTCCGGAAACATCAGAATTATTAAATATATTTTTCCGGAAACATCAGAATTATTAAATATACTTTCCGGAAAAATCAGAATTATTAAATATCCTTTCCGGAAACATCAGAATTATTAAATATACTTTCCGGAAACGTCAGATTTATTAAATATATTTTTCCGGAAACAGCAGAATTATTAAATATATTTTTCCGGAAACATCAGAATTATTAAATATATTTTTCCGGAAACATCAGAATTATTACATATACTTTCCGGAAACATCAGAATTATTAAATATATTTTTCCGGAAACATCAGAATTATGAAATATATTTTTCCGGAAAAGGCAGAATTATTAAATATACTTTCCGGAAAAATCAGAATTATTAAATATATTTTTCCGGAAACATCAGAATTATTAAATATACTTTCCGGAAACGGCAGATTTATTAAATATCCTTTCCGGAAACATCAGAATTATTAAATATACTTTCCGGAAACGTCAGATTTATTAAATATCCTTTCCGGAAACATCAGAATTATTAAATATACTTTCCGGAAACATCAGAATTATTACATATACTTTCCGGAAACATCAGAATTATTAAATATATTTTTCCGGAAACATCAGAATTATTAAATATACTTTCCGGAAAAATCAGAATTATTAAATATCCTTTCCGGAAACATCAGAATTATTAAATATACTTTCCGGAAACGTCAGATTTATTAAATATATTTTTCCGGAAACATCAGAATTATTAAATATACTTTCCGGAAAAATCAGAATTATTAAATATCCTTTCCGGAAACATCAGAATTATTAAATATACT